TTCTCCACTAGGATGCTTAAATAATGGCAAATAGATGAAAATTCTGTCATTGTGGGGAACATATCTAGATCCCTAGCATGGTGTCTATTTGTTTTCTTAGACTCTACTCAATCCATGGCATGTCTATGAACAACCATAGCTATGCAAAGCCAATCTTTATTAAGAACTTTTAATCTGGCAAACATATGTTATAGGACTTTGCACATATGTTTTTGTTTTTAATGCTCCTAAGAAACCCATGAAGCAGGTTTTGAAACTGAGCTTCACAAGGAATAAGAAACTTGCTTCAGAACCCAACCTCAGAAATGCTTTCAAGAACCTGGACACAGACTTGTACATTGGACCCTGAAGCTGCAATTCCTTCCAACAAGCTCTGTGACTGTTATTAGTCACTGAAGGAATCATTATATGTACTCTCAACCAGTCCAAAATCTGTCTCCTTACCGTCAGAGAAAGATGTAGCCCTTTATAAGCTAAATGGGCAAATACCACCTTTTAAGGTTTTAAGAAAATGACTTGCAAGAGTCATCGGCTCTATTATTTAGAATTGTAAAAATACTCTCACAAGGATGATGATATTTTAAAATTACTACTTTAATACTTCCAACACTCCCTTTGTAGCCTTGAATAGTTCATATGTTTTCTAGAATTAGACAAGCTTCATGATAGTACACTCCCACCCCATATTCTTGGGCATTTGGATCCTTCTCCTGGATAGGGTTAGACATGGTGCCTCCATACAGAGATAAAAGGGTCCTAATATGCCTGCTAGCACCAGAAACATGACAACACTTAAGATCAGGGAGAATCTGGTTGGGTAACAACCATATAATTTTGAGTCATTTGGATCATATAGACTGGCTATAGTTTGAACCAAATCACTTTGCATATTTAGTTATTATGGTGAAAATCTAAGGTAAAATGAAAGGTATTACCCTAATTTTACCCCACTATCCTTAAACGGTTTCTCTCCATTTGTGCAGGTGGTCATCATTGACATTGGCTGGGGAAGAGAGAGGTGGGATGGTTGAGGCTACAGTTCTGATTCTGCCTCCTGGATGGGATAGATAAAACATAATTTAAGTCATGATCTGGTAGATGATGCTACCTTTGAATGTCTATACCTGCTCCATTCCAGCATTCTCTACTGGACTCAAGCCCCAGAGAGCCTCCCAGGACATGGGATTCAATCCTTGATGGGCTCGAACTCAGGTTAAAAAAAAACTGTAGTTCTGTGATTGTGTGGGAATTTAGAGACCCTCTTGGAAAGGATCAAATTTCTTTGTTCCTGAGAGGGTTGATGAATGAATGATTATTCATACTCAGAGCCACGCTGAAATTTGAGGGATGGAAATATATTGAATAGAAAGAGCCTGAGTCACCTGACAAGGGCAGCGAGTCTCTTGTATCACTGGATGGTTGTGACATAAACTTCCTCTGACTGCACAGCCCCTGCTCCCTCTCCTATGTTTCTATTGCTGGGGTCAGAGGACCTTCTCAGGCCCATTCATCTAATTAGGCCCTCACTGCTGGCCAGGTGTGGGCATCAGAACTGCTGCCATGACCTGACTTCAGGGGTCTAAGCATTCACCCAAAGGGACCCTGATGTCCTGCCTGTAGTACGTATTAAACTTCACCAGCTTCTGAGAACCAGGGGCCCATAAACTCTCCCTTAGAAATCCTCTGGAATCTCTGTGTCACTATGGTATGGTAAGTGCAAGCCAAGTCAGCATCCAGAGAGGAACACAGACTTCTCCGCCCAGCTGTCCCCAAGATGCTCAAGCTAATACTCTTCTAACAGAGTGTTTTTGGCCTATTGACACACTCTGACCTGAACTGACCAGCACAAAGTCTTGGGAATACAAGATAATTATTCAAACCCAGGGAATAATAGGGGTATATTCAACAAATGTCTTGCCTTCGAAGGCTCATCTTAGCATTCCTTCATTCAAGCATTTATTCATTCATTGTTTTTATTTATTCATTCAGAAATATTTAACATTAATTTTAACCAAGCAGCTTCATAGATAATGAGAGGATATACTAGATCATATCTTATGGTTCTTCCCCTACTGCAAATTGTCTGGAATATAAAATGTATTATTAAGTTAAACACCTTCCTATTAAGTTTTTAAAAATCAAAGTTAAGCTGTAATGTCATAGAAATCAATGTTGCAGAATTAGCTAATTCATGTCTATGGGTTTTTTTTAAATAAAAATTAGTCTGGCATTAACTTTTTAAACATTTCTGGGATGTTTTGACATTTGTACAATTACCATAATGCTTTTACATGGCATCAGTTACACTGTTATACACTCTCAGCAAATAATCACATCATGACTTCTAATGCAAAGAACAGAAACTACTAAGTAGCCTTACATTGTTAAAATTCTTGACCCAAATAACTACCGATTACTGGTTAAGTTGTGGAATCTGTGGTTTTGGTATATAATTGCATGGATTAAATAACGTTAATGTGTAATTACATGAAAATAAACCACGTAGCTTAGTTAAATTGCAGTACAATTGTTATCACCGAATGTAAAGTGATACCAATTAAACCTTCCTTTAAAACACCACAAATTAAGATTTAACTACTGAAGAAACTCTAGAATATAAAGTCATGGTATACTCTGGATAGAATATCTCAGTATTTTCAGAAGTTTAATGGTGTTTCTAAAATTAAAAACATCTTTCTTCTTTACTTCTGCATTAATTGTTACTTATTCAGGAAAGTTTCAAATAGGCACTGGATTAACTTCTTAAAAGATGTATCTAAAAGATGCAGCATTGTAATATTGACAAAGAAACAATTAAGGAATTAAGAATTCCTCTGCTCATGTAAAATAAATAATTTTAATGGGTGGGCACTGGAGAAGAATTCAGGGGAAAAAGGAAAAATCTTGTTACTAATGCTGATTCTGTTTAACAAAGGAAATTTTGTTTAACACAATTAGGAAATTTTGTTTAACAAAGATAGCTGAGGATTGGCAATTTTGTATCATTTGACCTAATACAATAGTAAAAACTGAACCACTTATATAAATGTTTCTAAGCAAGAAAAACAGTTTCTTCATCATCTATCCAGCTCCTTCTATGTACTGAGTTGACCCGTTTACCAGCTAAGTGAACTTGGACAGGTAGTTAAACCTCTGAGCCTCAATTTTCCTTTCAGGGAAATGGGAGGTAATAATAGTTATACAAAAGCATATTATATGGTTCAACTAAAGACAGTGTAGTCAAAGAATCCCATACACTACCTTTTATGAAATAGACATTGATAAATATGCTTTCTTCTACTTCCACACTGGGCATCTTTTAGGCTTCTGTGAATATCTGTACAAGAAACTGATGACTTAGATCTGTAGACTTAGGATCTATAATACATAAGGTACAGGAGAATTTAATCAAACTGGTAATTTTGACACAGGTCACTAACATATTTTTCAGACAAGAAATACATATCGTTATAGAAGAATTTAGTAATGGGTGATTGAACTTTTCAAGCTGGTGACTTTTTAAAAACAGAATGTTAGAAATATCAAGAAACATTATCTGTAAGGATGAATTAAATTCCTCCTTCATATACCCTAGACTGTAACCCACACTTGCCTCTCCATGACCAGGTCTAAATTTCAGGTGTTCAAAGTAACTCTTCATTTAATCTTGTCTTCTGACAGCACCTCAACAAGTATATCAAAACTTGTACAACATTTAGCAAGTGCAATTTGAAGATTTTCTTTCTGTTAGACAAATAGACGCCATCTGGAAAAAATAACCCCAGGCGCTTGGACGCAGGAGCATAAAGCTTATTGGCTGAACACCCAATGAATACCTTACACTACTTTCTTTGGCTCCTACCCTTTGCCTGCTCATTTCAAATCTTGCACACTTCAGTAGGCTCTGTGCTGTTAGACAAGGGGATCCTTGTTACCCATGCACGCAAACACTCTGAAGGCTCTCTTAATTTGAAAGATAGGCTTGCAAGAATTATCTGGACGGAAATGTTTCCTTTCATATTGAGACACCTGTTCTATAAAGGACTGCTAAATATAGCTGTGCATTGATATTAATTTCTAACAATGTTTCTTTATTCAGTTGTTGCTTATATTTTTCAACTTTTACCACATTCCATTTTTAGACATGAGTGTCTTCATATAATCTTCCCTTCCTTCTTCCCTCCCTCCCTTCCTATTTTATCTAAAGCTTGTAAAAGAAAAAGCCCCAGGTGCTATTATTTTTAATGCTATTTATTTTACTGATTGACTTTTATTCCAGAATTAGTAGTATAATAATATTAGTATTATTTTGTCTGTCACAATGGACTGCACTGAATTTAAATGGTTGCAATATTATTTATCAGCTTTTAGGAGGAGATCAACTAAATGTTAATAGAAATCATGAAAGCAATCTTCACTTTTGTTTTGATGATAAAATCTTTGTGATAAAATTAGCTTTTAATGGCATGCTATATCAAACTTTTGGTGCACCCACACTGATGCAGTAAGCTTAAGTTACTTCTTTATTAGTAACTTTTCCTTTGTCAATTGTGAGCAGGTAGCTTTTCAAAACCCAAAAGCAATTGCCCCAGACTTCTGGAATTCATTTTTATTACATCCCATAATCTGAGCAGTAGGGAGCCCTATGAAACATGTTCGATCAAACATTAATTTTATAAATTGCCTTCGTTCCCCACAATTCCCATGAAAAAGGTATTCAGCTAGATTAAAACTCTGGAAAATTTTAATGGAACCTTTGAAATCTGTTTGAGCTCAGCTTCCTGGAAAAATAAAACTGCCTAATGGAAGCAGTCTTTATACCAGAAGTAGATGTGCCTTTGAGGCAATTTTCTTCAATGTGAAACAGTGAAATGGCAGCTGGGTAATCTGAATGCTTGAAATGTCTCTGCCAAATTAAAGGGTCATGTGTGCTCTCTCACAGTGAGGAAGAACAAGTCCATGAAATTTGTAACAATGTCACTCTTGTCTTCTTCTCACAGTCCTACCCTGGTCCAAGTCTGGAAAGCGAAGACTTTAACATTCCTCCCATCACTCCACCTTCCCTCCCTGACCACTCCCTGGTACACCTGAATGAAGTTGAAACTGGTTACCACTCTCTGTGTCACCCAATGAACCACAATGGCCTGCTCCCATTCCATCCGCAAAACATGGACCTACCTGAAATCACCGTCTCCAACATGCTGGGCCAGGACGGAACGCTGCTCTCCAACTCCATTTCTGTGGTAAGAATCTGCTAACCTGTTTGTGGAGGGGAGGGAGAGACATAATAAAGGCAAGGAGTCATTTAACCAAAGGACCTTTCAATTGGGATGATGGCATTCTGAAATGAGGAAGACATTTTTAGCTATGGAGCATGCTTCCTATAAATCTTTCAAATTCCTAACATGATTTTCCATTTTATATTTATGACAAGGCAAAATCAGTTAGTTACTTGTGTGATCGCTCATATTTGCAACCCAAAGTACTAAATGTTGCTTAACATTGAATGTGCTGTCATACAAACTAGCTTCCCAGTTTTCAGATAAAAAGAATCCTCCTAAAGGATGCCACCTTCCATCTAGGGTAGGATTCCTTCCCACAGGTAAGATCCCCACATCTCTGAACAGGAACTGCTGTCAATCTTGATTCCCCCCCCCCATTTTCTACTCTCAAATTTCACAAATTTACTTTATAGGGGAGGCAATAAAGCAGTTTTTATTTCTATTTTGGAAGTGTAATTTGTTTGATCAAAACTCACCCTTTGAATTGTTGAACAGTTGAAATTTCTCGAATTTAGTGGGACTATTTATCACCCAGAAAAGTAGTTAAAAACTGTAATTCCCAGGACCTGCCCAGAGAGTCCAGGGGTCTGTATTTTTACAAGCATCCCATAATTGAGAAACACTGACTTACCATAAAAGCTTTCCTTCTGGATTTTATGTCATCTAAAAACTTAATTTCTCTGTCTGTATTACAAGGAGTGGAAAAAAATGTCAGTAATATATGGCCATGGGCAGAACTTCTGACCACATCATTAAAAACTCCTCTCAGGTTAACTGTGACTTTTAATTAGCACTCTTTGATTTTCATTGTTCAATCACTTAACAGTCTAACTAACTGTGTGTTTTTGTTTTTGTTTTGAGTCACCTAACATGGCTGTCATGTTCACAATGAGCAAATTGATTAACTTGCTCATATTATATTGTTTCTGATACAAAATGCATTTCATGTGACCACTTATCTAAATCACTTCCAGATACATCTCTAACTAGAGCCACTTCACAAGAAGGTTTTTCTGATAATCACCAACCTAATGGGGAGGGGCTAAAAGGAAAGTCAAAAGAAATCCCCAAGTAGTTTTGGAAAATGAAGCTGAATGCCACAGTAGTTCATGCAGTTCTCCTAAAATCTGACAGCCTTCTGGGTGGCCAAGAGGGGGAAACTTACATGCAACAGCATCAGTAGGAGAAATCCCAGCCCAGTTGCCCTGGTTTTTAGGTTAGACTACATCCATCTGCATAGAAGTAGTAGTCTATGAATATTAACTATGACTCCATAAGATAGAAAATAGATTTTTTTTGAACAAGCATGCTAAACATGTGATTCTAAACATGTTATACATGAATGTGGTCACTTTGACAAATCACATCTGTTCCTCTTTGGGTCTAAGCCTTCAGACCCAGTTCATGAGCCCACTCAGGCATCCAGGTCATGCCTTGATGGGGATCCCCATTTTTATGTGGGTGTGTAGTACTAAGGACTGAGCCAAGGGTACTCTAGCATCAAGCTACATCTCTAACCCTTTTTTGTTGTTTTTATTTAAAAAAATTAAATTTGAAACAATCTCGCTAAGTAGCTGAAGCTGGCCTTGAACTTAAGATCTTCTGCCTTGGTCTCTTGAGTCACTGGGTTTACAGGCATGTGCCAGGGTGCCAAGCAGAAGTCCCATTCTTTATAAAGGAGAGGAAGGATGCAGTCAGGATATAAAATGCCAGTTTTGTCCTCCATGCTTCATCCCTCATGATGCAAATCAGAGTTGGACTGCAAGAGGGATCTGAGATGCTCAATTATACGATTTTAAGTCTCAAGGGGATTTTTTTCATTATAAAGTTGACCTCCTTCCTAGTCACCTTGTAGTCCCCTTAACATGCTCAAGGCCCTCCCAGTGTGAAAGGCAATCTTTGAGAGATGTATGTGCAGTTTCAATAATGGTAGATCTGGGATTCTTCCAGATTTGCTGCCTGTAGGAGTCACTTTGTCTTCTGATGGCACACTCATGATGGCACTTGGTTGCAACTATGACACAATCTACCTTCTAGGACTTTCTCCCATTGTACCTTCCCCTCTTTCTATCAGGAACTTCTTTTCATTCATCTCTACTCTTTCCCTACCCAAGCAACTGTTAAAACTGGACTTCGGGATGGGCGCAATGATGCACGCTTGTAATCCCCGTGGCTCTGGAGATTGAGGCAGGAGGATCACGAGTTCAAATTCAGCCTCAGCAAAAGCAAGGTGCTAAGCAACTCAGTGAGACCCTGTCTCTAAATAAAATACAAAATAGGGCTGGGGATGTGTCTCAGTGGTTGAGTTCCCCTGAGTTCGATCCCTGGTACCCCAAAACAAAACAAACAAAAAACTGGACTTTGGTATTTTTGTCTCAACATGATATTTCTCTTAGAACTATCTATTTTGTCCACTTATACATCTATTTTGTCCACTCACAGTACTGATCTGTGCATATAATACTGCAGACAAAAGGCTACTCCAGCCAACACCAGCATTTGTGTGCCTTTGGATGAGCTTTGTCACTGTCCCATAGACTTCATATGATGCCAGAGCTCTTCTGTAATCTGCATGCCAGTAATAACAATCTCTTGCTACTGAACACTTAGATGCAGCTCATGGGACTGAAGGATGATTTCTACATTTTAGCTCCATTTAAGTACTTGATGTATAAGTATCCACATGGACCTGGTGGCTACTGTGTTAGACAGTACTGGTCTAGTTAATGATGTTGACTCTAGTTAAGTCTGTATTAAACCTATTTTTTTCAAGCAAGCCTGGTCTTGAAGAAAGTAGATTTGGAGATTAAATTTGTTGTTCTTGTTTCAAAGCTTGGCTCTCTGGCTGGATTCCAGGAGCCAGAGTTTGATATACTCTAAAGTTGTAATGGAAATCTTACAGCGTTCCGAGAACCAGGAGCTATCTTTTGTCTCCCAAATCCTTTGAGAAACAAAGAACCTCTTCAGTTCTTGTTTTGAGTTTTTATGTGACTAGAATGCCATTCCTTCCTATGTACATTTTGAAAGCTTACCATGGCCTAAATGTTTGCAAAGGCTCAGATGATTGATAGATGGGACACCACCACTGTCTTCAAGAGCTTTCAAATCACACAGAAAACATAAATAGTTATGAAAATTAGAGAAAAACATGAAGCAATTAGAGACCAAGAAAAGCATTAAGTGAAGTTCTATTGACCATGACCTCAGTGGCAATTCCTAGTTGGAAGAGATCACGGTAATCTATCTGGTTTGGGTATAAAGCTTAGTGGAAAAGGCAGGACTACAGTCAGAGCTGAAGGATGGTTTTGATTTGGATAAAGAGAGAAGAAAGAAAAGGCGTGTTGGAGAGTGTTCAAAAATCAGGTTGAGTATTTTAAATTGGGAGATTTGACTAAAGCCTTCAAAAACCAATGAAAGAACTCTGGGCTTGAGAGGATGGATTGTAAGAAACCATTGGCAAAGTTCAAGAGACTCAATGCAAAAGCATAATGAAAGCAGTGTTGTAGGAAAACCCTCTGGCAATAGGGAGCTGGTGGATAGACAGCAGTGGTGAGAAGCTGAGGGTGCTGACAACCCAGGAGCCTGCTGTCCCAGCTTAGGTAAGAGGACCTACGAAGCTCTACCAGAATGATGACCAGCAGAACAGAGAGCAGGGCCATATGCATATTGTCCCCAACAGTATGTGGATCTAAAGATGAACAACACTTTGTATTTTAATGTTTAAAATTTGGAAAGCACCAGGGATTCTTTTCTTAGCAAAAGACTTTGAATATAAGATTTCCTGATTATACTTCCTTATAAAAATTTCCCAAAACACTTTCCCAACAACTTTGCTCATACTTGACATGATCACAAACAGCCTATTGAACATCATTCAATGCATGTGTATATCAAAACATCACAAAGTACCTGATACAAAGTTTTTGTGTCAATCACAAAAATAAATTTGGAAAATTTTAAAGAACAACCAAGCTACCATCTAGTTTGACAATCATTGAAATATATTATAAATAAGGACAATTTGGGTTGTCAATGACCATATAGACAAGAAAGTAGCTGCTATAGAAATCAGGATGTGAACACTGTCCAGTTAGGAATTACAGAGCTCCTCTGACATCTTTCAAGGTCACATGCAATATGAAAACAACTAAAAAAAGCTAATATTTGTAGATTCTAAATAATGAATTTGCTGTGAATTTTAAATTCCAGGATATAAACCAACATGGTCAGATTTATAGAGAGGACCAACTATCTCAAATTGCAATTTCCAAATGTTTTTCAGTGTTACTAAAGTTGAGTCTTTTGCTGTTCGTATTGTGATCATATCTTTGTTAGTATTTTCACAGGGTATAATTTTAATATTTGAATGGATCTAAGATAGGAAAATATTTTAGTTCTTATTTAGAGATTATGTCTATTTTAGATGTTATTGTGATACATACTACATATACATTATTGTGTTACATATTTTACCATGACAAGTAAATAGTACATTATTTATAATCTTTAGTGAGATTTCATTTTCAAGGTAATTTTTTTTATTTACCTTTGTGTCTTATCCCCAATGGTAATATAAGTGATATAGCTGCATCAATTATAAATGTTTCTTACAAATGTCTAATAAGTTACACTTAAAAAAATTTAGTCTATAATTAAAAATCAATATCTGAGTGAGGTATTAGTACCCCAGTTTTGCAAATAAAAACTGGAGGTTCCAAGTAGTTAAGTGATTGCTCAATTGTTCGGCAAGCAAATATTCCAGTTCCATTATCTGGAAAAATTATGATAATGATAGTCCTTACCTCGTGGGGTTAAAGATATTTGAAAAATTGCTTAGCCCATTAGCTGGCACATAGGAAGCATTATGTAAGAGTTGGTTAAATAAAACAAGAAAAGCAAGCCTGTGTGACTCTTTTGAAGAAGTTAAAATGCATGGGAGAGAAGATTTTTTGAGTTATTTA